TAGTTAGTGAATCAGAAGGAAGGAAAATGGTGGCAGAAGCAGTTGATAGCAACTGGGATGAGAAAATAGAGGTACTACACGAGAAATGGATTAATTTGAAATGCAAACGATTGTTTTTTTAGTTTGTGACCCCTGCCCTGAACCTATGTATAAAAATATATGTTTCTCTGACCTTAAATTTATTATTTTCTTTTTCTTCAAAACTGTACCTTGTTACAATTACGTTACGATCAAATTCTATTAAATAAATTTTACTTAAAATGTAGCAACACGTACATTTAAATAAACATCACAAACTTAGGAGATACGATGAATTTTCCTCTTACCCCAGATGAGGGGGAAGAAGAACGTTAGTACAAGTTGAATTTTTTGGCCGATATTGTCGTAAGTTTTCAAATTAGCGTGCGATTCTTAAAACATGAAAAGCTGATAAACTAAGGCAAGTTTAATGTATCTCAAAATTCTCATAAAACATTATACCTAGTCAGGTCATAAATTCTGTCACATGTTTAATATAAAATAATTGAAACAAGTTTATTCATTATGTAACCATTTACATACCAAAATGAACTTAACAAAACATAGATTCTTATGACATTAAAGTTTATTCAAAATGACCTCCGTGATTTTGAATACAGGCCTTCAATCTGCGCGGCCAGTCGTCTATCGCAGCACGAACGAGGTCCATGTCAATATCGGCGACTGCCTTAATCAAGGATGTCTTGAGTGACTCCAAATTGGGATGAGGCTTTGAGCACGCCTTTTCCTCCAAGTGTTGCCATATCTTGTAATCTAACGGATTCAAATCTGGATTGGAGGAGGGCCAGTCTTCGTGCCGGATGAAGTCGATTTCACGCGCCGCAGCCAATCTTGTGTGCTCTTCGCTCTATGAGCTGGCGCCGAATCTTGTTGGAATACCCAGTGCCTGTTATTGAACATGGTATGAGAAACAGGTTCCACAAGGTTCGTCAGGACTGTATTTTGATACACAACTGCATTCGTTTTTACACCTTTCTCACAAAAATGTACCTCTGTTAAGCCCCAATAAGAAACTCCCAACCATACCATGAGCGAGGATGGAAAATGACCTAGTTGGACACGCGGAATACGGTTGCTCGCTTCTTCACTACTGTGTGCGTACACCTTATCATTTTGTTTGTTGTAGCTCTCTTCTACGGTAAAAATTTTTTCATCCGAAAAAAGAATTTCCCGATATTTTTTTCCCGCGTACCGCTTCAACAAAGCGCGGCATCTCTTCAGTCTCAGGTCCATTAGACGAGCATTCAAACGATGTCCTGTTTTTCTTCGATATGCCCGAAGCCCTAAGTCTTTATTTAACACCCTTTTCACCGTGGTTCTGCTTAACCCCATCTGAAGGGCCAACAGTTTCTGCTTACGTTTGGGATTTCTTTGAATTCGTGCCTTCACAGCTTTTATCACTGCTGGAGTCCTAACAGACCGAGGGCGACCACTTCTTGACCTGTCATCTACACTAGAGTCTTCATTGTATCGTTTGATGGTACGATAAACGAATCTTTTGGTTATATTCAAATTTTTCAGTATGTCAAAAATTTGAATTGGCGCGTAACCGCAACGATGCAACGCAATAACTGCAACACGGTCTTCTTTAAGCGTCCACTCCATATTTAAAAATGAGTAAAATTCTAAAGAGTATACAGTTTTACTTTCATGAACAATTCGAAATTCGAATTCAATAAACTTTTTAGTGGCCAGCATTCTAAAAGAAAAGTTTTTACTGTGTGACAATACTTATGACCTGACTAGGTATGTTCTTCCTAGAGCTCAAAACCTCGGGTTCAAAATAAACTATGTTCCTCTTACCCTAACTGACCTTACACCAAATTGATAGGCTGGGGTAGGGGGGTGGTCTTACGCATGGCGGTAATGGTTCGTGTAGTGTATATATTCTTTGGTAATGGCTACGGTCAAATGACGTACCTACGGTGTCAGTGTCAGGCCTATTCATTCATTGTATGGAGTGTAGAGATTCGTGTAGAATCTACTAGTTAGTCTGTGGTGTAGAGTACAAGGAGAACCATCTTATAAGGGGCGAAAGTTGAAAAAGTGTCCTACTATTTACTGAAAATAGAGGTTCATGGCTAAGTCAAATGACGTATGGTGTCAGTGTCAGGCCTATTCATTCATTGTATGGAGTGTAAAGTACAAGGAGAATCATCTTATAAGGGGCGAAAGTTGAAAAAGTGTCCTACTATGTATTTACTGAAAATAGAGGTTCCAAACCTACCACAATAGCGCTGGCGTCTCTACACTCCATAATACATTGCCGTTTTGCATCGTGCGTCGTGCATTACCTTCGCGGGACGTACGTCAGGATGGACCGTGTATAAGACGTTTTACTCTCATATTAAGTTGTGTCTCGCCAGCAACGCAGTCGGGAATTCGCATTTGGAAAAATCCAAAATTAGGGGCTTTATAGGTGTCAAGTTTCAAAATTTGTTGCTCTAAAATTTTCACCGCAACGACCGTTTGAAATTTGCGTTGCTGGCAAAACGTATCTTAAGGATATCTTCAAGGAATTAAGTGCTGAGCGACTATCGAAACCCGATACAGATTAAGATATTGTTACGGACGGCGAAGGGAGCCGCCGCCCCGTCGCCCCTTCATACCCCTTTGCGCCCCGCGCACCCCGCACACCGGCAGCAGATCACGCGATGTCGCCGACCAATCAGCGCGCGGCATCGCCTCACGACGCTACTCACATACTGAGACGCTCTCTTGCGAGATATAAGAAGGGAGTTTTGGTCTGTGAGCTGTTCATTTCGGAAGCGGCACTCTAAGACAACAGCAAGAGAAGAAGCATCAAGAGATACTCCATTGAGGATTGAAAAGTGAAGACTCCCCTCTCTGTAGTTTATTAGTGCCGCATTTGTAAATATTCGAATACAGTATAGTTTACAGTACCATCTTTTCTTTAAGCAGTCCCTAGCGTAGTAATTAGTCAGTCAACCAGTTTTATACATTAAATTCATACAGTCCACTACAGTCCCTAATATTTTTGGTCCTTCGCCGCCGGATAAGAAGCCAGAAGCACTTCTGTCCCTAATATTCTTGGTCCATCGCCGCCGGATAGAAGCCAGAAGAAAGAAGGTAATTACAGAAGAAAGAAGATAATCATAGAAGAAAGAAGATCATTACAGAAGATGTTCAAGGAAGAAAGAAGCTCGTCGATGTGCCCTTTGCCATAGTTTTTTTTTTGCCCACTATGGCAAAACGCAGGCATCCACGCGAGCCGTAGAGGCTGAGGCTGGTCGCCGAAGGCGACTAATAAGCCGAAGCTGCGGAGGTGAGCATGGGTTCTTGTGATTTGCTACGCAAGGGCGAAGAGGCTGCACTCCCCGAAGCGCCGAAGCCGTTGCAGAAGTATATCAATATTCCTGCAACGCCAATTTCAACAGTTCGTTACGGTGAAAATTTTAGAGCACCTAATTTTTAAACTTGGCACCTAATTAGCACCTAAAAAGCCCCCAATTTCAGGTTTTTCTAATTACAAATCCCTGATTTTGCGTTGCTGGCGATACACAACTCTCATATTTGGCATAGTATAAAGAGACCAAAGATTGTCACTTGATATTTCTATTTCCACGCAAGAATTTCACGCAACAGCTTTCAATAGATTTGTCTCTTTTTGCCTTATTTGAAAATTAAATTAGAAAAAGCGAGACAAGTATATTGACTGAATTTATGTAGATTTGTAGGTTCTCTATATGCATACGTATGTATGTAATTACTATAAGGGAGTAGCCATAGCGGTTTTTTCCGATATAGAACTGTCATTTTTTGTGGGGGAAATCTGCGCACACAAAAACGAACGTCTGTCACTACCAAACTAACATATAACAAATTAAACAATATATTGACAAATTTCGCATACACAGATATTATTGTAATTTTTAAGTGTTAAAAGAAGTAAATAGCTATAATGTGATTAAAAATTACTTTAAGAAAAGTAATGCCATCTTTTTGTAAATTTCACGTGGCATATCTCTTTTTGCTGTAAAAAACATAACAATTCGGCATTTATGTAGGACGTCGATTTTTTTTTATATAGGATAGGGTGACAAACGAGCACACAGTCCACCTGATGGTAAGTGGTTACTATGACCCATAGACATCTACACCTATCGTCAATAAAGACTCAAGATGCAGATGCATTGTCACCCGTGAGGACTAAGATGGAATGCCTCTTTGCCTTTGTAAAAAGGGTCTCCGGTTCTCTACACTCACCATACGAAACACAGCAGCGTTAAGCTGCTATTTTACGCTGATTTTCTGTGAGTCGATTCAGCCGCGCAACTAAATTTACTCTAGTGAGCAGCGCGGTTGCAAGTAGTTTTATTTTATGGACAGGACAGGGTTTATACTTTGACAGAGGGGAACGCCTGCGTATGGCTACTCACCTTCGGTCCGACGGCGGCCGTGTCGCTATATGGACCTAAAAATCATTGTTTTGCCAAAAACCTATTACCTCTATTAGACCTTTCTCGTTTATTTTTTACAAAATCTAACATAAATAAGTTTTTTATATGGCGCAAAATACAGGAGCATCAATCCGCCGGTTGTCAAAATTCAGTTTATTTCAATAAATATAACTTCGCCTACTTTGTGATTTTCAAGCGTTTAAATTCTTTAATAGATCCAATTCCATGCTATATTATGATCTAGGGATTTTTAATCAATTTATTACACGTTACTTTTCGATTTTTACATACGATCTAGCGATTTTTTGATTACAATGGAAATTTCTAGTGATGAAGCTAGCCAATCTTGGACGATAGTCTTTAAGGTTCGATGTGTAAACCTTACCATCAGCTACTATTAGGCTGTATTGAAATATTAATAAATATTCACTTTGCTAAAAATGATTTTCAAGTAAAACAGCTTCTTTAATAAAATTTTAATGACAGACTATAGGCTTTTTAAAACTTCATTGATGGCAATTGCAATGCAAAAAATTACTGTCATTTTCCACCCATCAAACTATTCATCCCACTGGAGCCTTGTTGGAGTTGCCTCATAACATTATGAAGTCCTGACATTCCACCCATTTGTTGAAGAATACGAGGATCCATCATTTTGGCCATTTGTTGATTTAGTTTAGCCATCTGAGTTTGGTTGACATTTTTCGCCATATCGCCTCCTTTAAATAAGCCCTTAATTCCTCCCATTTTTTTAACTACCGCCGCAAATTTAGTATATTGAGCAATCAGGTCTTTAACATCTCTTTCTGTGACTCCTGCTCCTTGCGCCACTCTTGTGATTCGAGTGGGTTGCTTAGAAAAGAGTTTTGCACCATCACGGTGGTCCAACTCCCCTTCATTCATTGAATCCATAATTGTCATGAGACGCTTTAGTTTTGCCATAGATTCTTGTTCACTGCCTTTTGACATAAGATCTTGAGACAAGCCTGGAATCATTCCCTATAAAACAATTACTCATTTAATTAATTCAATATTATAAAAAATTATGCAAAACATTTAATTTTATATTGTATCAACACTTTACCATTATTTGTGAGAAGGGCCCCATTTTCATAATATTCTGGAATTGCTCATACATAGCGCGTAATGTAAACTGACCCTGCTTCAATTTCTCTAACAGCTCATCATTGTCATCAAGTTTAAGTTCATTAACTTTGTCTAATAGTCCTTCAATATCTCCCATACCCAGCAATTTATTAATAAAAGGCTTAGTCTTAAATGGTTCCAAATCATCAATGTGTTCACCAGTACCAATGAAGATAATAGGACTTTGTGTAGCTGCAACACTGCAACAACATACTATACATATAATTTCCATTGAAGCATTTTTCTTGGAATCACACTAGACGCGAAGCTTCCATGGAGCCCCCATATATCAAAACTAGCAAGCAGACTTAGTTCTGCAGCATATGCTGTAAAAAAGATTAGGAAGTCTAACCAGTGTTGAAACAGCTAGACTAGTTTACTTCAGCTACTTCCATAGCATAATGTCGTATGGTATTTTGCTATGGGGACACGCGACTGACACTGAAATTATATTTGTTTTACAGAAGAGGGCCATAAGAGCAATTTATGATTTAAAGCCTAAAGAGTCGCTGCGCCAAAAATTTAAGGAAATTAATATATTAACTTTGGCCTCTCAATACATTTATGAAAATGTAATGTACGTACACAAAAATAAAAGTAGTTTTACAAAAATAAGTGATATTCATTCTGTAAATACTAGGAACAGACACAAGCTAGTAGTACCAGTTACTTGACTCCATTGAGTCAGTAATTCATTCTTGGGGCGATGTATACGCTTTTACAACAAAATTCCCGAAAATATACAAAGTTTGACCTGCTCAAAGTTCAAAAACTTTATTAAACTAAGTTTGTATAAAAAGGGTTATTATAATATTAAGGAATTTATGGATGATAATAACCCCTGGGAATGAGGTGATCGCTACCAAGCTATTTCTAATTTGTTGTGTTGTTAATTTGTGTAACATCATGATTGTAAGCTGTTATTTTTAAAAAAAGTCCCGCTGGGTTTCTTGCTGGTTCTTCCCAGGACAGAGGTTTTTTCCGAACCAGTGGTAATCAAACAAAAGAGTGACTTTCAATAAGTATTATTTATAATCTATATTGAATAAAAAAGTTTGTTTCTGTTTCTGTTTCTGAAGATTACATCTTGGCATGGCTTAATTGTTAGAAAGGTCAGTGCAGTAATTTACCAAATCTGCCAAAAGTAATATTTAAAAAAATAAATTTGCTAGGCTAAGGCCTCACAAGCAGGTTTTCCAATGCATAATGTTTTACTTCACCATCAAGCATATAGTTATTTAGGACTTAAACGCGATACAGACATGACATGACAGAAGAGAAATAAAACAAGAGATGTAGAGCAGCATCTTCCAACTCATCAACTTTAATGAAAAACTGTCGTTACCAAATATCTTGTTAAGGTGTTAACTATGGCAAATGCCCCCCCCCCCCCCACACAAAAGAAAATGTATGGGGAGGTTTATGTTCATAAGTGGAATTTTGATAGGCTGTAATGGTGGATGAATGATTTAATAATTGGAATATAATAAGGATAAAGCATTATAAATTATATTAATTTATAAAACTTTCCATATTTTGACAAAATTGTAACTAGTAACAGAACTATATATTTTAAATAATACATACGCAGATAGTGCACCGCCACCTTTAGCATGTCCATCCAACTTTGTGATTATTACAGATCCAATGTCAACTTTGTCTTTAAAAGCTCTAGCTTGTGCCTCACAAGCCTGCCCTATAGTAGCATCCATTACGAAAATTATGTTGTCCGGTTTCTATACAGGTAATAAAATATGGCATGTTAATTTAAAATGTATAAATTTAAATAATTGCTTCAACATAATATATAATAGTGATCAGTGTTACACACACACACCATGCTCAAATCGTGATGTGGTGACAAAAATGCACAGATTGATATTTCTTTGATATTTATGGATTGTATGGATAAAAGTAAAGCAATTTGTTAATAGGTAACAAATGTTAAAATTTTCTATGATAGGAAGGAATTCTCCATACTGTAAATACAAATCTTTCTGCCAAAAAGATTTGTACTTACAGTTTTCAGTATGAGACAATGTGAAAAAAAAAAAAATAGTTACATATTATATTAAGACAGAATAGATTGCTATATTTTTTTTAATATTACATACCATGTATGTAATATCCACAGAAATAAATCAAATTTTTTTCCAACTTACAATAGCATTTGCCACTGCCAACATCTCTTCAAAAAGTGATTCTTCTTGTTTGTGACGACCACTTGTATCAACAATAATCATTTCGAAGCCCTCTTTTTTGAACATTTCCACACCTGTTGTTGCTATTACTACAGGATCTACTTCTGTATAACTGAAATAATAAATACATTTTATTTTTTATGAATAAATAAGTTCAAAAAGTAGCAGCTCAAAATGTTATTACTAACCTGCCATAGAAAGGTATCCTGGCTTTCGTACAATTTTGTTTGACCTGGTCATAAGCACCTGCTCTAAATGTGTCAGCACACACAAGACATGATTTCCAGTTTTTCCTTAGATAGTGATAAGCCAATTTTGTACAAGTTGTGGTTTTACCAGAACCTTGAAGCCCTACAAACATGATTACATTGGGCTTTCCTTTGACTGGTTGATATGGTTTTACACCTGGGTCTACTAACTGTAACAGATTAGTTCTATTTAATACAATAACAATAGTCCAATGAAAATAAGTCTTGAGATTGCTTATGTCACCTTGGAAAATTGGTTTTTAAAATAGTATTGTTATATTACTATACATTTGTTGTGATTTTGAAGGTATTTCTTTTTATTTAATTTAATAAGGCTTACCAACTAAATACATAAAAGGAAAAAATACATTATACATATGTTTTTAAATTAAAGACATGTAAAACATTCTTGTAATACATACACATAAGACTTTTTTGTCGTATTCATTAATTTGTAAACTTTATTCATGTCTGGGAATTGTTTAAAACCGCTAAATTTGTCTGGCGATTGGCAGTTATTATTAAAATTATTCAATAAATACATGATTAAAATTTGAGATTGCCAAAAGTATATTTTTTGGGAATTTTAATAAAATATTTTTGGAGAGCTCTGGTAATACTTTATAACCCATAAAAACGTCTAGGATCTTTTTTGAATTAATTATTAAATTAATTTTAAAATTAATTTAAAAGATAAAGAAAAATTCAAATTGCCAAAAAAATTTTTTTTGTATATTTTTTTTGGAAATTTTATATGCTGCGCAGTAACGAAATAACAGCAAAAGCTTTCCCACACCCGCAGGACTAGATTCGCCAATTGACGAAATTATATTTTTTGACAAATTCAACTTGCCAAAAGGACTTTCCCAAATTTCGTTGCCAGCTCTCCGAAATCGATTTTTTAAAGTAACTATATTTTAACAAAAAATATTTAAATTATAAGCCTATAAGTAATTAGTATATCAATGTTCTGATAAATAGCTGAAGTTGTGTTTTTACTTGTATATGCTAAACAAAATATACACTTGATAAAAAGTTGAATTTATATTAGACTTGCAATGAATAGTAAATTCGGCTACACGCCGAAAACTATAATATATTCTTGCTGGCCTAATAGCCGAATATTAGGCAAAAGTATTTGGCCGGAAGGAAGTAGTGCTTATTTTTCAGAGCGCCTATTCTCTTAAGCTGGGATTGTCTACAAGAAGAAAAGGTGTAAGCTACTGCCTGAAAATGTAGAAAAATATGTCTTTCTGCACCATTACCTTCCACTTTAATTACGATAATCCAAGTGCATAGACAGTTATCAGATAGTCTTTTTTTAATTTTGATAATATGGAAGTTGATTATGTACCTATGACTACTTTGATGATTACAAGAAAAAAGAATAAATATAAAATAAATAAATAATATTTTCATTTTACCAATTATTTGACAACAATAAAATCTCTTAATTATTCAGTATTTGCCGTGTAGTGGCGGTCAAGAATATCCATTACCTCATATCCTCCCGTGAGTGTCGTAAAAGGCGACAAAGGGAAACAGGCAGGAGATGGGCAGCAGCATCTTCCTGATAATAGCCAAAATTACAATAAAAAAACTGCGGTTGCCAACCCGCTCGCCAAGCGTGGCAACTATGGCAAATACCCCCCAATGATTAGAGCAACAAACAGACGGCCCCCAGTACCCGGCGGCCCCGCTATTCCTGGCTACGGTGGCGACCATGGTAACGGCGGGGCAGGGGGTGCTAAGAATCTCCGGTGGAGGTTCGGTTGCCACCTTAGACGACTCGACCTGGCAACGTACGAACAACGTGAAGCAGCAAAATACAACGTGGAAGAAGTGATAGACAAGTTGCGCTGGCATATTATAGGATTATCCAAAGTCCAAAGAGAGGGACATTAAACATAATCTTTGTTTTGTCCAAGTTCATCTTAAGACCTATCCGTTGGAAAGCACTATTGAGGTAATTGAGCATAGTGCTTCGGTCTTCCAGCGATTCTGCCATAAGGACTATATCGTCGGCAAATCGAAGGTGAGTGATGTACTCGCCATTGATGTTAATACCGTATCCTTTCCAGTCCAGAAGCTTGAAAACGTCTTCCAATGCAGCGATGAAGAGTTTCGGGGATATGACGTCACCCTGTATTACACCTCTCTGCAATTGGATAGGTTTCGTATTCTGGTTCTGTACTCGGATAGCCATCGTAGCCCTACTGTACAAGCACTTCAGCACTTCGATATACCGACAGACCACTTGGCACCGCTGAAGGGACTGCAGCACCGCCCAAATTTCGACGGAATCAAAGGCTTTCTCATAGTCCACATACGCCAGACATAGTGGCAAATTGTACTGCTCTAACTTTTGTACAATTTGCCGAAGGGTATGTATGTGGTCTATGGTGCTAAAGCCTTTTCGGAAACCGGCTTGTTCGGGAGGCTGGATGCCATCAAGTCTGCGCGCGAGACGATTCGTAATGACTCTCGAAAACAGCATGTAGACGCGACTCAGAAGGGAAATCGGTCTGTAGTTCTTCAAGTGAGCATTGTCGCCTTTCTTGAAGAACAAGACCACTGCACTTCTGCTCCACGCCTCTCGTGTAATGCCACCATGGAGGACGGAATTAAAGAGCTTCTGAAGGACTTCAAGTACCGGTTTTCCACCCGCTTTCAGAAGCTCCACTGTAATTCCATCCTCACCTGGGGCCTTGCCGTTTTTAAGGTGCTGGAGAGGATTCTAATCTCGCTCTGACTGATGTCCGGGATATCATCGGAATAATGTCGGATAAGACTCACTCTTGGATCGTTACTCACACTTGCGTGTGGCTCCAACGATGAAGTGTACAGCTGCCCATAGAACCTCTCAATCTCACTCAAAATCTCAGGTGCCCCGGAAACGATGCTGCCACATTCTGTCTTCAGCTTTGACAGTTGGCTCTTTCTGGCAGACAGATCTCTGGCAAAGACTTTGGAGCTTTGGTTCCACTCAATCGCTTCTTCAATACGAGCTGTATTGAAGTTGCGTAAGTCCCGCCGCATGCATTTGGAGATCTGTCTGTTCAGATGCCTGTATGCTGTCAAGTCTGTTGAAGAATGTAGCTTCATCTCCCGTCTAACAGCCATGAGATTAAGAGTGTGATCGGAGAGTTTTTGTGTTCTTCTGCGGCGGGTCTTGCAGATCTTAGCTCCGACCGCATGGACAGTTTCCACGAGCTTGTCATTCATATCGTCCACTTCATTGCAGTCTTCTAGGCACTGAAAACGGTTTTGTAACTCGAGCTGAAAGGTTTCGGGACTTAGATTAGAGCACGAGGGGGACGGAGCGTTGACTTCATTAGACGAGCCCTCTCCAACTTAACATTTAGGTTCAGTGTGCCTCTAACCATTTGGTGATCGCTGCCGTTTTTCACCCTCGCAATCACTGAGACATCACTGAACAGTTGTCGTCTGGTGGTCATAATGAAGTCAATCTCATTTTTTGTCGAACCATCGGGGCTCGACCAGGTCCACTTCCTGTGGGACCGCTTCTGGAAGAAAGATTTCATCATAAAGAGTCCCTCTTTCTCCATGAAGTTGGCCAGCTGCTGGCCCCTTGGGTTCCGTTGCCCTATTCCAAATTATGATAATAAGGCATTACTTTTAAGCAAGTAATGCCTTATTATCAGTAAAAAGAGTCTCCTGTTCTCATGACTCACCATATTAAGCACAGTAGAATTATACTTCTATTTAACACTTGTATTACATGACAGTGGGTCCGCCATCAATCTGACTCACTTAAGCTGCACCATATTATGTCCAGTTTATCTGTTCTTATTAGAATGAATAATCATTCATAGAATTACTAAGTATTTAAGGAATTCCAAAACCTTTCACATATCTTTACTTACCTGTCTGGACTATATTCAAACCAATTTAAACTTATGTACTAAGATCAGAGCTAAGTCCAGATGATAAGTAGACAATAAAAGTACACCCATAACAATAATTCATGCATTTACGCTAATATTGCCTCTAGCTAGGATTCAAACCTTGGACACATAGTAGGCTTTTTAAATTTCAACCACTAGTTCATACAGTTACTTCACTCTGATAGTATTAAGTAACAGTTCTGTTGAAATATATTCATACAGTAACAATTTTCGGAACACTTTAGGCAAAATAAATAGTAGTTTGAAGCAACATATTTAAAACATACTTACTTTAACTAGCTCTTTAAAGACAGCAGATTGTATCATCCGCCGTTTATTAAGACCACCAGCCATTTCATCAAAGTCAATAACTGCACGTACATTCTCTCTTAGGTTCTTAACCAAGCGAATATTTACATCAGCTTCTAATAGTGCTGCACAAATTTGCTTTAGCATAGAATTTAAAACCTGAAACACTCCACGCAATTAAAAAAACTATTCCAGTCGAATTACAGACGTATGAACGTCATTAATTTAGACTGTATTCAAATAAAAATCAATTACATTACCTCTTCATTGATAATGGTAGCTCTGCTTAAAGACTGCAGAGCAGTAGTTATTTTGCGACCTAAATCTGCTAAAACCATTTTGATTTCTTATAACAAACCTTAACAATTGTCTTGATGTCGCAACTTATATTACTAGATAGTACAAATTTACACTGAATGCGAACAAAATGTATTCAGTTTTTCCGACATTTTATATTTCCTTAAATAACATTACAAAACATGTTAGAAATATTATAGTACACACAATCTTCAAACGAAACACCTAAATTCCATGTTGCACAGAATTAGAATTAATTAAATTGCAAAATCCAAATACCAAATAAAATATGTCTGTCAAATTGTCGACACGTCGTACTCGTATTTCTGGATGTGTCAAACTTTTTTTTTATATTCAAATTCAAAGTCAGAGGGATCTAGGCCCACACAGCCTAGAATGACGAATATTTTATTCACATAATTCTTCATAATATGCTTATGCGTCACATTGCTAAGTTTTTGATCCATTTCGACGATAACTTAACCCAGCACACAGTTGTTACGATAGTATCTCAAGACGCCCCCCCCGAACCGGTTCCCGCCTTGTCGTGGCGGGGGGGCTTAGTAGCCGTGGCTTGGTCACCCACGGTGAACACAGAGGAACCCCTTGGCTGGCCCGTGGTGTAGGGCCGGCCCAAGGTGGCCACTCCGAGTGGGCTTGGCGAGCCCACTTCGGATGTGTGTCGGTGGGCTGCGGTGAGTGTGGTGTCCGCTCCCTCTACCGCTGCAGCCGAGGTGGAGTCGCGGAGGAAGAGGAGTGTTGGTATGGCGATGCGCCACTCGCCCTATCCTCCGCGGCTCTGACGGGGTCGCACCGTTAATAATGCGGTGGTGGTGGGCCTGCGGGGAGAGAGGAGTGTCGGTATTGCGAGGCGCCGCTCTCCCTACACTCCGCAGCCGAATCTTGGTTGACGGCGGAGCCATAGACCAGATCCGCCGCTGGGGTCAGGTAGGCTGGTGCTTCTGAGTGCTAGTTTTTCCTGGCCCCATGGCCTTCGCGCATCGGACACGGGGGCGTCCGTTGCGCATGTTAAGTTGGAGGCCGAGGAGGAGGGCGCGCCATGTGTTCTGGTGTGCCTTACCTGAGAAGGAGATGGGGGGAGGAGTAGTCCTCTCCCGAGGAGAGGCCGCGATGTTGCGGCCAGCGCAGGTGGGGCCGCGGATGTGTGCGAAAGCGTTCCCGTGGCCCTGCCAATATGCGAAGAGGGTGGAACAGCATGGGGTTTTAGTCGGTGCGAGTCCGACATAACCCGTCCTTGCCCCCGCGAGGCGGGTATGCGTAGGCATTTGCCCATGTAAAAAAAAAAGTATGTCAAGACGCCTCAGCGGATGACAATACTTTATAGTTACATCACCATCAAAGCACTTGTTACATCGTTTTTACTAATAATTCATACATTCTAATTATAATCTTAAAGTGTGTGTATACGTTTTAAAATATAAATGTTACCAAATTTCTTCACAACATGTTATAATGCGTAACATTGTGATGTTTTTGGGATATTTTGACCGCAGCTTATGCGAGTAGACAGTGAATAACAATAGTATCTCAAGCAATCAATGCACTTGAGGGAATTTAATTACTTCAGGTATATATCACCATAGTAGCATTTGTTTTTCGTTTCTAATAATATTTCACATGCGTCGAGACATGACACATCACTGAATGCTGTTTCTAAATGATTTAATACTAATAGTATAGAATAATATATTAAAAACTCATTTTGTTTAAAAAATGTCCCGCTGGGTTTTTCGCTAGTTCTTCCAAGGATAGAGGTTTTTTCCGAACCAGTGGTAAACCATAAATGACTTTCAACAAGTATTCTTGTTATGTATATTGAACAAAAATGTTTCTACTCTACTACCTCTCACTGTTATTACTGTCCACGACAAGTCCACCGAAGGACATAGGTTTCCCTCATAAATTGCCATTAAACTCACAGTACATTTCTGTATCATGGAGGCAATTTACAAACATAAGTTGCTGCAAATAATTGATTCGGATCGGGATTTAAATTTTACACCAAAAGTTTACATATTAAAGCCATGCTGCAACTATATTTTGGCTGAACTACGAACCGGTTAACTCATCCAGACAAATCCACCCAAATACCTATGGGCCATAGCATCCTTTTAACTTTATATGGACAGTGTGTTCCTATGTCACCCTTGTTCTCTAAAAAAATACGCAGCAATTTGCTGCTGTAATGAATTTTTTTTTCTTTAAAAATTTACAATAGAAGAATGAGAAAACTATTTTCAGAACTCTTGGTCCTGACGATATATCATCTAGAACTATGGGGAATTTCGGAATACAACAAGCATTTATTGCTTTTCGCTAATACAGTTTACAAATTTTCGTATTTCAGTCCCGCCAATTTTTTGAAAATAATCTTGCGGAGGGAACTGATGAATTAATCAAAATATAAAAATAGTAGAAGCAGTCGTCTGCATAAAAAATAGGTGAAGATTTATTGTTCAGAATTAAAATGATCTAACAAATTATTCTTGGTTACTTTTTTTTTGTATTTTTAGCTTTTTAGCTTTTTAAATTTTTTATTTTTGTTGTAGCTTGATTAGATATATACATCGTTTTGAATTCGTAATATTTATACTTCTATTTATATATTATATCAATAGTGACGCCAACTTCGCTGTCGTTATTTTTTGTCCTGTGTTCTTATAAAGAGTATAATATGACATAATATTGTGACAAAAAATCGCCTTAAAATGGAAACAGTATGATAAAGGTTTTGCTTAAAAATACGCTAACACATTCAGTAAAATTGAATTAATAATTTGGATATCTGAAACATTTTAATGTATGTAGTGTAAGAGAGACCGCAGATTTACAATTATAAGTTGGCTGACTAAATCGCAGAGTATACCAATAGGTATAGTGACATATGCTAGCCCACACATCTTGTCCAAATAAATCGTCCAACTAATTAATTGGACACCGATCGTATCAGAATCAAGATTCCCTTCCGATTACACACAATTAAAAAGTTGTCCAACTATCGGCCAACTGCTCATTAGCAAGGTTACCCTATGCAAGCTCGCGGACTATCCAACTTTGTTGGATAGTCGCACGGCAACATGCAAGACGAACCGACGCGCGCGCGTAATTTCCCCACGTTTGGACTTGGGCCTTCGCCGACGGGTGCGACATTTGCCACCCTATCACTTGTTGCAAACGAAAAAGTAGAAGAGCTCATAGATGAAATGCAAAAAAGGCCAGCGTTGTACAAAAAAGTTCGTTTCAAAAAGGATGCACCCAAAATGTTCTGTTTTGTTTTCGTCTTCTTTTTATTATTAATGCAATTAGACCGTTTTTTTTTTCGCATTATCACGCACACGCACTGCGCTAGCGACACTGTCACGGGCTAATTCGATTAAGTCTGCGGCTGGTAACCAATAAAACATAGTTGCTCAATTAAATTACAAAAGTACGCAATTTAGTCGTTCGATAGTTGCCAACTTACAATTGTATGTTTGCGGGGTCTCTTAATAATTTATTTAGTATTCTTCTTCTTGATAACTGGCTTTACGGCTCTGGGATCAAGCCCTTCTGAGCCTGAAGTTACAATATTATATTATAATAATTATTCTTCATGGTATACTGCTTCACAATATGTTGATGCGTCACACTATGCAGCCCTTGGGACAGTGTTGCCATATATACAGATTTCTCTGTATTTATACAGATTTTCGGTGTGTAATACAGATTAGCACTGGATACAGATTTTTATACAGAGTTTTCTAACTCTACTGATTAAATTACTATAATATTCATTATTATTCAGAATGAAGCAAAATATATGACTAGATACCGCGTAACACACATCATTGCATGATTCTATTCTTTATGGTTACTTTTTTTCACAACGTAATTAGTTAGATAGTATGGCAGCATTACAATTGTCACTCGCTTTGCTGAGGAAATCCTCCAAAAATATTTGCGTGCTGTACTTTCTAATGCCGCCTCCACACGCTTGGTGTTTGCCACAAACACCATTCGCGAACAAACACCGACCACATTCACCCAACACAAACACGGCATCCACACGCTTGGCGAACGTGCTAGTATATTCCGGATAGGCAAACATGACGGATGACGAGTTTGTGGCAGCGATTAATTTCGGGTTGACCTATTTTTATTTAAAAATAAGGCAATATGAATTTCTCTCAAGGTTATTGTATTAAAGAATTTATTAACCATAAAATCTCAAATAAATTGTTAATTATCACTGCTATAAATTGTCTTCAGGTTGAAATCAGTTTGGTTTGAACGCTTTTATTCGTATTGCATAGCTGATTATTATGTAACACGTTACTCTAAATTAATCTAAAACAAACTTTTATGAAATTAATGCTTGACCGGGGAATCGAACACCGAACTTTCGTTTGACATTATATTGAATCTATTTACTTTTAACATAGATTATCTCTTTATTCGAAGCGCCTTATACACTTTAATAGCAATATTATCAAAACGCACAATTGTTTATTTTTTATGGAATGAAAATGATATACTATTTTAAAGCGCTTCGCCAAAACTAATAGTAGTAATGCATATGCGCCATTTTCTTCATAAAATGTTTATTTTTAACAGCTTACAATAACATTACAAATTTATTAATGCAGCTAGTTTTAGGTCTTTTCTATGAAAATGTAAAGAAATTTTTAAGAATCCAAGTGTATTTTATAAGTTGGTCAACTATTACTCGTTAACTTCTTGATTCTACTTAGCTGTGATAGTTTTCCTTTTAACTGCATTATATAAACTACTATTGGGTATACTTTTCACATTTCGATAAACATCGGTTAAGTTGGTAGAGAGTGGGGGGGGGGGACATAACTCTAATGAAAAATACCACTTTAAAGCTAAATATTTCACAAACGGACCCCTGAATCGAAAAGATGTTGTTGAACACCCTCAATGTTTTTGAAAGACCTATCCAACGATACCCCACATGATAGAATAGACACGTAAAAAAATCATCCTCCATTTACTTGTATGGGAAGTACCCAAAATAAAAATGTTTTTAAGATATTATTTCACAGTTTTCTATGCGTGATTAATATTTATAACTGTGCCAAATTACAGATTTGTAGCACCTAGGGTCTGAGCAAAACTGCGGACGGACATGGCGAAACTATAAGGATTCCTTGTTGTGTAACTACGAAAGTCTAAAAACTATTAAATCAAGATATACTAAACTTATCGATACATAGGATATACTAATCTTATATAATTTTTTCGGATTTTATTTTGGGAATTAATTATCAATGATCCTGCTTTCATACGGGGCTCCTTATAAAAAGAGGTGAAATATTTGTTACCCAAGAGTTTAATAAAATAAATCTAATAGGTCTCTAGAAAACTTAAAAAAATATAGGTAGTAGATCTACTACCTTTTCGAAGTAGAATTGTTAGGAAACTCAACATCTAAAATCATATTTACCTCCGCGACAAATTTCGAATTGGTAACATTGGCGTAGAGTATAATAATAATAGCCACTAGTAACTTCTTCCGCCGCCCGCAAGCCGCAAGCTCGCGCGTACTACTGACTGATCGCCAAACGTGTGGATACATCGCAAACGCGTTTGTCGAACACCCTTTGATCGGTGCACAAAAACCGACACCAACGCCGATCACTGGCATTCACATACAAACAAACAAACAAACAGGCAAACAACCATCCACACGTTCGTGATTGCTGTTTGGTGTATGCTGTTCGCCGTTGTTTGGCAAGCGTGTAGATGAGGCATAAGGTGCGAAGGAGCGAAGCTCTCGCATTCGTCGTGTCGTATGTGCGTAGGTAATACGTAAATATTTAAAAACATAGATATAAACTTTTATTAAATATTAATATTGATTGTATTTTTGTAAACAAGTTATGTATAAGTTTAATCGGAATTGGATGGAAGGTTCATCCTATAAGGTGTGGTTGAGACCTAGTAACAAAGGTTTGATTTTTATATTACTTTGCACATTGGAAGTGCCGGGTAGAATGATCTTTTCAGACACACGAAAACAAACAAACACGTAAATTCAAGTCCTGGTGAATCTAGCTCGTCAACATTATTCTTGATGATTCAGATCTCGAAACCTACCGGTGTAAAGTCACTGCAGCCCGTGATCCTGCTAACTACAGCAATCAATTATATTCTACGCTGTCCAAATTGGATTCTGCAACCTTAAGTCTACCTCATTCTAGTGCCGCCTTAGGGAGGACGTTATCTATAAATTTAATAAAGACAAAACAACGCAATAGACTTAATACAGATACTATTGAAGGTCTTTAGCCTAGTCTTTAGATCTTTAGTCTATAGCCTAGAGGTTGATAATAAATTACTGTAGAAATTTAACAAAAATATGTAATAACTAGCTGTGCCCCGCGGTTTCACCCGCGTATGTCACGCGTCTCCGCCTTGCGGCATGCGAACTTCGACAGAGACTTAAAAAGTGAAAAATGTTACTTAAATTACATGGTTAACGTAACTGGTGGTTATGCATAGTACAGGTACTGATACGTTATTGTGACATAACTGTAATAGTTAAACATATGGTATCGCAGGCTATTTTGTAGATATTGATATCCCTATGAAACTGAAGTACTATTATCTACTTTGCTCTATTATCAATAGTTTCTGCAGCGTATGCGATATACGGATTCTTTTTGGTATTTTTTTCACACCTCGGGTTACATTAACGAAGTTTTCATACGGATCCCTAACTTTTTGAAAATATTATATAGCCTATGTTCGTCAGGGACAATGTAGGATTCTAATTGTGAAAGAATTTTTCAAATCGGTCCAGTAGTTTCGGAGCCTATTCAATTCACACAAACAAACAAACAAATCTTTCCTTTTTATAATATTAGTGTAGATAAAGTAATCATTAGTTTGTTAGTTGCAAATGTTTAAGTTTTAATATGTTGTTTCTTTAAACTAATGTTTTCAATTTTGCTATCTAAAAATTTTAGTGTATATTTTTATTTAATAACGATAATCAAACCTTATCACGTTAGTACTTATCCCTTGTATTTCAATAGAAGCAATGATGATCATGATCAGAAATTCTATTTTTTTTCTAATTTATTTGATTATTACAGATTTTAAGTTAAAATAGCATACAGATTTAATACAGATTTTAGCAGTTTCTACTACAGATAAAAGGTTCGAGGCATCTGGGAACACTGCCTTGGGAGATTCTGACGGTAACTTGAGCCAGCAGACAGCTGACGGTTGGCGATGGTATCTCAAGGCGCCTAAGCAGACAGGCACCTTATTTTGAGAATCACATCACTATCAGAGCACTTGTTTCACAGTTTCCAATAATAGTTCACATGCGCAGATACTTAATACACAAAAACGCACAACTTTTACATATCAAAGCCCACTTCAAACCAATATTTAAACAATAAAACAGGAGCAGCAAACCGCCGCCGGTCAAGATCCCGCCAAAACTCATTTATTTAGTATTTTTTTTTTTTTTTTTTTTTTTATAGGATAAGGGTGACAAACGAGCACACAGTCCACCTGATGGTAAGTGGTTGCTGCGGCCCATAGACATCTACATCTATCCTCTGTTATAAATCAAAATGTAGATGCGTTGTCACCCGTGAGGACTAAGATGGAATGCCTCATTTCCAGTAAAAAGGGCCTCAAAGTATCAAAGAGTATAACGAAGAGTAATAACTGTCATATCCATACAGGATTCAAGAATTTATTATTCTCTATGTCTTTTCCTAACACATCAGCTAAACGTAGTGATTATATTCTCTTTGCATCAGCATCGATTTAAAAAAAAAGTTAAAAATTTCGCTTTGTAATCAATGTTGTGCTTGTGTCTATATTAAATTTTAATATAAATTGTGGAAACTTAATAATATGGTAGACTTTGAATACTAACTTTTTAAATTATTGCTATTTGTATGGCTGACCTAATGGATGTATTATATGTTTCAGGGGCAAAACCAGTCAGGAGGTGGAAGTGGTGGAGACAAGAAAGATGACAAAGATAAAAAGAAGAAGTATGAACCTCCAATCCCTACTAGGGTGGGAAAGAAGAAGCGCAAAGCAAAAGGCCCCGATGCAGCTTTGAAGCTGCCTCAAGTTACACCACATACAAAATGTCGATTGAAATTATTAAAATTAGAACGTATCAAGGATTATCTCCTCATGGAAGAAGAATTTATTAGAAACCAGGAGCGTCTGAAGCCTCAGGAAGAAAAGATTGAAGAAGAGAGGTCCAAGGTTAGTTTTATTAATTTTGTAAATATAAATTTGTAAAATAAAAATGCTTATATTTATTGTGCTACCTAATGGTGTACTTCTTTGGCGTGGCATCTTGTTTTCGACTTGAGCATAATCAGAGATCACTCGACAGACAGACATTCTTCGAAATGTGACATATTAATTTATCATTTTCATCCATAAATTCTTTAAAATTATAATAATTTTTTTTATACAATATTTTAAAGTTTTTAAACTGAGTGAGGACATATTTTGTATATTTTCTGGGATTTTGTAGTTAAAGCGTATATACATTGCACTAAGAATGAATTACTGACTCTGTGGAGTAGATTAGCACTATTCTATTTGTAAATGATTAATTAAACTTTACAAAATATATTAAAATGATAAACACTAAACATGCAATGACCAGTAGCTGGCCTCTTATCAGATTGCGTTATGTATGTGCTTTTTATAATTTTTTGCAGAGAAATTGTCTGTTTTTGTTGTTGTTTACTAAAATGTTTTTTGTCATTGTATTGTAGAATATAAAAATATACCATTATATTTATGTTTTACAATAAATGCAATAAAATATGCTCCACAATTCCAAATTTGAGAGGGCCTCATACAGCTATTATTTTTTGGTGGTTTTAAGTCAATAAATATTAAAATAAACACTTCTTACAATTGTACCTTTGTTTGTGACAAATATCTGAATCTCAAATATGAACTTTTAAACATGTTAAACTAAAATATACTTACCCTTTTTTGTCCAGTGCTCATACATAAATGAGGCAAAGATATGTGAAATAATGTACAAATAATGTTTTTTTTGTAATTGCTTTTAATAACAGGTGTATAGTTAATTATTCAAATAAAACAAAGTCCTTTTTAAATAATTTCTTATTTTTTTGTACAATAAAATGGCAAAAATTACATACTCATGTTTTGAAAAAAGATTGACAATATATATTAAGGAAAATGTCATATTATACAAGATAATTGAAATCCCCATATATGTAGCAGTGTAAGTATTTTTTTTAAGTAAATATTATTTTTCATCGACACATTGTTTGTATTCTTATGTTGTAGGTTGATGACCTTAGGGGTACACCTATGTCTGTAGGCAATTTAGAGGAGATTATTGATGACAATCACGCAATTGTCTCTACATCAGTAGGAAGTGAACATTATGTCAGCATTCTGTCCTTTGTGGATAAGGATCAATTGGAGCCTGGCTGCTCTGTACTTTTGAATCACAAGGTATAATTTTTTTTATTTATCTCTAAATATTCATTAACTAAATAGGTTTATAAAATATGATAAATCTTACTTTGCATTCAATTAGAAAAAATCTACTTAGGAATAATGAGAATAGTTAGATATGTTCTTCACTTGTATTCTTTACCAGCCCATTAAGAGTCCATTGATACATCTTGTATTGTAGTGAGGATTTGCTATTATTGTATAGTAGGTGGATCTATTATTATAGTATTAGATGTCTTACTAATTTGATATTGCTCCTAGTAGCAGATCTAATTATTGTACATCTGGCATTTACAAAATAGTCATATCATAATCCATCAAAGGCCATAAGATCTTTCTGCCATTTCCTATAGTAATTAATTAAATATATCTTGTACACAACAATTGTACACATTGTCTTGCACACAACCCAACAACTGCTAGTTAAACAGTAAATGATATTTGACTCATTGGTATGCAATCCAACTCCATAAGGCACTCTGGACTCTTCTGAATCCCTCAGGGTTAGTAGTCTTACACTAAAGTTATTGTTTATTTATTTATTTATTTATTTAACAATTTATGTACACACAAACAAAGGAAAGAACACAACATGATGAACAGTTTGTACAAGGGCGCTACTTATCTCATTATGAAATTTCTTCCAGTAGGCCAGTTAAAAAGATATGTGATAAATAAAAGATAGTAAGGTGTGCACTTTGTTATTATATACACATACATACATATATACATACAAGATAAAATAAATATATGTAGATTCATAATTAAATATATATAAATAATAAAAAGTATAGTAAATATCAAAAATATGGAAACTTACACAGAAGACAGAGATAAATAATGTTCTTTTACACGTTTTTTGAATAATGTCACTGTTTTGATTTCTCGAATCGTAGGAGGAAGTGAATTCCAGAGTCTTACTGCATGTACAGAGAATGAACGGGAATATGAATGAGCTTTAAAGGATGGGAATTTTAAGAGGGTTTTTAGGTGAGATCTACAAATTGCATCTGGAGATTTAAAAAAGGTGAATCGATTACGAAGGTATGAAGGGAAATTCGGACTGTGTAAGATATTAAAAAGAAGACAAAGGATACGAGTGTTCCTGCGAAATCGGATCGGGAGCCACTTGAGCTGCTTTCTGTATTTAGAGACGTGGTCAAACTTCTTGAGTCCAAAAATATACCGAATGCATAGGTTTTGCAATCGCTCAAGTTTGTTTAATTGCTCCTCTGTAGCATCCAAAAAACAGACATCAGCGTAATCTAAGATTGGCAAAATGAGAGTTTGGACAAGAGAGATTTTAGTTGATAAGGGTAAAAAACTTTGAAATCGTTTTAACGAGTGAAAAGTGTAATGTACTTTTCTGCTTAAGTCCGTTATATGAGCACCCCATGATAACCTATTGTCAATAATTAGGCCCAAGTTCTTCGCGGATTCCGAATAAGCAATTGATGTGCCATTGATAATCACATTTGGCAGGGTGTAGTTATCAATAATATTACTATTATATCTGCTGCTTACTATTAACGCTTGAGACTTACTTGGATTTATAGATAAACCATGGGATCTGGACCAACGATTAATTCTGTCCAAATCGTCATTCAGTGCATCTATCGCCATTTTAGCCTCAGATGCCTCAAAGTGACGGTAAAGCTGCAAATCGTCTGCATAAAGATGGAAGTTGGAGGATATTATTTTCGTTATAGAATTAATAAAAACGGTGAAGAGTAAAGGAGACAAGACGCCACCTTGGGGTACACCTGCAATAAGATTACACCAGTTGGAATAAGTGTCATTAAAGCGGATACATTGCGAGCGTCCCCGAAGATAGGAATCAAACCAAAGAATGGCCGAAGATGAAACATTGATTGTTCCTTATGTTTATTATATGCTTTTTACTTTCACTCAATCCTGTTAATTTATTTTCTCTTTGATGATGGTATTAGTTAAGACTAACTTAAAAGTTAAGAGCTTTTAAGTTTTAATGAAACTAATTTTTACAGATTTTATTGTGTTTTTATTACCTTATTTTATATTCCCGACATTCAGAGCCCTTTTCAGCGATATCTAGTCATAGTTAACCACGGATACCTTCAGTTTAGAATTATTAAGTTTTTTGTTCGTCGAACACTTCAGTCCCCCATGAGTATGAGTTTACAGATATATTTCTTACAAAATTACTTTATTTGTTAGAGCCATATACAACTGGATAAATGAACTAATTCAAATTATAGTTTATAATTTTAGCAATAATCCGTCATCAGGATACAAACATGAAAAACATTTTTCTAAATCTTGAAAAGTAACAACAAATAAGTATTGTAATGATTTCTTATATTTATGTGAACACTACACATGAAATAAAGCAATTTTTACAGATTTTATCACGTTTATAGTCAAATGCGATAAAATCTGTAAAAATAGTTTTATTCAATAAGTATTGTTTTAGGTTCATGCTGTTGTTGGTGTACTGGGTGATGATACTGATCCAATGGTGTCAGTTATGAAACTGGAAAAAGCGCCTCAAGAGACTTATGCAGATATTGGTGGACTGGACACACAAATACAGGAAATAAAGGTTTGCTTATTAGTTATTAGTGATATTCGGTATATACATAACCTAATATCCACAGATATTAGTTGTAAAAATAAGTTCTGTATTAGATTTTATATGAGCATACAGTCCATCTGATGGTAAGAAGATACTGTCACCCATAGACTCTGTTAACATTTACAATTAAAATATTAAGGTCATGAAGTTTCAATAGTGGAGATGGTCGATGTGGTGCGGTGCTACCATCAGCATGTGATCCAGTATTTAATAAAATCAAACTTACATAACACTGCAAGATTTCAAAATACTGTTTACTCTTTTGCAAAAAGCGGATAAAAATCATTACTTAAAATTGAAGGTACTCCTGGTGAACGTCTAATACCTTAGCTCATATGTAACAATGAGTGTTGAAAAGCAGTCACGTGTTTCGGGATTTTTTTTCGTAATACTGAAGTGACCTTCGGGCTTACAGTCCACCGGATGGTAAATGACTACTGCAGCTCATAGATACCTGCAACTAAATTCTAACAAAAAAGGCTACAGATGCATTGTCACAACTAAGGGCTAAAACAGAATGCCTCACAGCCTGTTATTAATACTGACTCTCTTTACCCTTAAGATGGGAACATAGCAGTGTGAGCATATTTATACATGGTAGAGCCATGCTACAGCTATATTATGTTTGTAACACGAATGGGTCGGCTCAACCACAAAGAACCACACACTCAAAGAATACCAATGTAATATAAATAACAGCTTATTGCAGCTGTGTTTCATATGGTGAATGTACACAAGAAGACGAAGTAGAGAGAATGAAGGCATTCTATCTTAGTGTTCAGGGTTAAACAACTAAGTTAAAAATGTATTTTCTTTTACAATTATTGGATTTTAAAATTGATCAATATACTTACCACTACTGTTTTCTTTTAATCAAGGAATCAGTTGAGTTACCTCTAACACATCCAGAGTATTATGAAGAAATGGGTATCAAGCCACCTAAAGGAGTCATATTGTATGGACCTCCTGGAACTGGCAAAACTCTCTTGGCAAAAGCAGTAGCCAACCAGACTTCAGCTACGTTCCTTCGTGTTGTTGGATCTGAACTGATTCAGAAGTATTTGGTAAATATCAATTTTTAAAGAATTTAATTTTAATTTATTCATCTATTTGAACAAATTTGTTTTAATTTTACTCAGGGTGATGGTCCTAAACTTGTACGAGAATTATTCAGAGTTGCTGAGGAACACGCGCCATCTATTGTTTTCATAGATGAGATTGATGCTGTTGGCACAAAACGGTATGTTCTTTCACTATTTTAACTTGGTATTCTCAGTAATGTAATGGGTCAATTCATTCTAACTTAACCAAGAAAAGAAATATAATTAACAGTAATTCTGTAAGAACTCTCTCATTCAAATTTAGTCAGAGCAAGCAAGTGGTTGGGACCAAGTTTTTTTTAGCTAGCCAATACTTGGGAGTGGGTTTGATCCTTCAGGGTCTTCAATACATCTATCTCTCATCTATAGCCAAGTCGTAGATGTTACCTCAGTAGCTGCAGATTATGTTTTATGCTGCAATTTAAGCTATATCTCGAACCTCTTACTTAATTTAAAATTTGATGAATAGTGGATCAACTTTTTTATCATCAAGTGGCAGCCTCGCAGTCTTAATTGTAGATTGCGACCAGGCTGAAAATGGTGACGAACTAACCCTCCTGTCCAATATCAGTAATAGAACAATGATTTAGTTATGTTAGTGTTTCACATCAGTTAATAAGAACTAAACCATGCAATAAGTTTTTTTTAATCTATCAAATGGTTTTTAAATCTATACTTGTCATGATGATACATTATTGAATGATGTATTTATCGTCATAACAACCTATCAAAGTTCACAGCTGAACATAAGCCTCCTCCTACATTGCCTCATAATGGAGATATTTGCCATAATTGTCACACCTGGCAGGCGGGTTAGCAACCGCAGTTTTTTTATTCTAGTAGGAAGACGCCGCTGCTCATGTCCTGGGTTGTTTGCCTCTGCCTTCTCTTACAACCATATAGGACTATATAGGGTAGTTGGATGGATATTCTTACAATCCCGCAACATGGTAATTGATTGGTCAGCAAATTTATCCTCAGGTGTTTTTTTGTGTAGATCATCGATCACTAATAAAAAACTAGATACACAATCCCATGCAAAAGTTCTCTATAAACTGTCGCCAATTCTTTTGAGGTAATTCTAGTTGAAATAAATATACATTAATGTAAATTCAACCTTAAATGCATTGCCTAAAGTTGTATTCACAAGCTCCGTACAAATTAAAAGTGCACCCAAATGTTTGAGTGGGGGCTCATTCGGTAAGGACATTTTTTCACTGATTGTGTATCTAGTTTTTTATAAGTGATCGATAGTGTAAATGCACTTTATCAAGAATGCAAATTGCCTAAAACCCATGTGCAAAAAAAAATTGTGTGACTTAATTTTAAACCGGATTCATTCAATTCCAATTGGGATATTAACACAAAATACACTTTTAATTATTTAAACGTAGAATTACGTAATTATAGTTGTTTTCGGTGCTAATAATGTTAATTTTATTATTTTTAGTTACGATTCTAACTCAGGAGGAGAGAGAGAAATTCAAAGAACTATGTTAGAACTTCTCAACCAATTGGATGGTTTTGATTCTAGAGGAGATGTGAAGGTAAGCCGACTTGTATAAATTATGGAATAGATATTATATCTAAAAATATTTGAACAAAAAATGATTTCATTTTTCTTTACAGGTTATCATGGCAACGAACCGAATAGAAACTTTAGATCCAGCTTTAATTAGACCCGGCCGTATAGACCGTAAGATTGAGTTTCCACTTCCAGATGAGAAAACTAAGAGGAGAATCTTCACTATACACACATCAAGAATGACATTAGCCGATGATGTAAATCTTTCTGAGCTGATCATGTCTAAAGATGATCTTTCAGGAGCCGACATTAAGGTTGGTTTATTTCAGAATATAAATATATTGTTAAATAATTATGTGATTGCATTGACTTTAGTATATTTTATGATTGGCTGGTTTCCACTAATCCACTAAACACGTATTTAGCGCGTAGGCAGAAACAAAAAATATTTGAGCCATGTTAGCTCCTCGAGGACCCCTAGCAACTTGTTAATATCTGTAATGATCTTGGTAAGGAACCCCAGCAGCTATCCATGTTCAATACATACCCCGAAGTGAGAAGGGTTAAATAAACTTTTTTAAGGAAATTTCGTACATAGTATGTCCCTTTAAGACAAAACATACGATACCACTTTTCAGCTACAGCTTCTGTATAAGTTAAAGGAAAGTGAAATCACCTTGGCTAACTCGTCAATTGCTTAGGCCCTTAGAAAAGCGTACCTAACCCATCACCATCTGCAGGATGTTTTTTTTTTATTTATTTATCTCAAACTACACAGGTAGTAATCCTACTGTGCTACTTAATATTATAAACGTGAAAGTTTGTGAGGATTTATTGATGTTTGTTACTCTTCCACGCAAAAACTACTGAATGTATTTTAATAAACTTTAAATAATATAGCTCATACTTCAGAATAACACACAGGCTGTAATTAATAAAGATATTTTGTAAATTGGTCAAAATATAACGATAAGTGTTAAGTAAGTCGGAAAAAATCTGTCATCTCCATTTCACTTTGGCGTGCAGTGCAAAAACTGTAAGAATTACACAAATATATTGTATGGAAGAATTGTTTCTCCTAAATAGTTCTACAAAAAAGTCCGTGACAGTATATATCTATTTTTTATGTGTAAGCCGTTATTACCAAAATAGTGAACCATAAATACAATAAAACTTGATACTTTATTTCCAATGCACATTTTGCATTGGAACAAATTGCATTGGCAGTAACAAATGGATTTTATCAAAATAGTATTTTAATCGCTTCTGATGTTCAAAGTAGATAAACTTTGTCTTTTAAACTACCTACGTAATTTGGTCAAATATTTTAAAAGTAACGACGATATAAAATTGTCCGGTCCGGCGCGCGCAGGGCGGTCGGGCGTATTGCGGGTGAGGTGGGGGAAAGCATTGCTCATCGCTTTCACGCTTAAACCGCTGAACCGATTTAGATGAAATTTGGTATCGAGATAGTTTAAATACCTGGGGAAGGAAATAGGATAACTTTGATCACGGAAATCATCCCTAAAGAGGGTGATAGAATTTACGATGTAAGTGCGATTATTGATGGATCACCTATGGTTTAAAGTATAGTATTTACGCGGACGAAGTCGCGGCAAAAGCTAGTATTCCATATTTATGTATGGGACGTACGTAAATACAGTTATAACCTATTGACTAGTACATAATTATTGTTTATTAATAAAACTATCACTATTCACACCTATGCCTGCGCAGATAACGAGTCTCCGTTGAGACTGACCGAAATTAGGTCTGGAGGACATAATAATACATTATTGTCTGTATCGTGTTTTTATGTGACCTACCGCCAAATCGTAGATACACGACACCCTTCGGCTAAAATTTTGACCACAGGTGATTTAAAGTTAAATTGTGGTCCACAGCATCCATTTACCTGGTGGATTATGTGCTCGTTTGTCAACCTATTTCTATAAAAAAATCGAAAATCAACTATATGTTTTTTTTTTGCAATGTATGTTACGCGATATCTTTGTCAATTATGAACCGAAATCGTTGATTATTTTTATGAATTAGCTTCTGACGCGGTCTTATTTAAATTTGGAGAGAATATTCCATCCCTAAGAGTAGCTTATGGCTTTGGGAGCTCTAATTCTTCTATACACTATGTCTTAGCACCAATTTCGGAATGTGGATTTTTTTTTAACTTTGTATTAAAATTTATAGTATTTTACACTGTTCAGTCGCCATCTTAAAATCTATAGTTTAATATAATAGAAATCAATTTGCTTATGATTAAGATTTGTGGACTGTACTGTTTATATATACACATTTTATTCTTTTGATAGGCTATATGCACAGAAGCTGGCTTGATGGCTCTTCGTGAACGACGTATGAAGGTTACCAACGAGGACTTCAAAAAGTCGAAGGAAAGTGTGCTGTATCGCAAGAAGGAAGGCACACCAGAAGGACTTTATCTTTAATTGTTTTAATTTAGCATCAAATGTAACTCCAGCTCATCATAGCTTTTGTTTTGATAACGGAATTATTGATGATATGTAAAAAATAAATAACAGAAGTAAATGTATTAATCAGAAAAGTATTTTTATTTCATAATTTTACTGATAAAACATATTATTTCATTTAGTTTGTCGCATTAAGTATCTATAAATAGGCGGTCGATTACTTCAATGGTTTACTATAAACTACTTCACTCTTCCACTAAGATTTTCCTGGATATTTTATAAACATTTATAATCTTTGCCTTGTAAAATATTCGTATGCAAAATAAATTTTTTAAACTTTTTCGATAATAAGTAAAAAAAAAGACGTACGTAAGTTCAGACGTAAAGACCGATTTCCTACACATCGTAATTTCTATTGAAATGCTAACTTCCGGGAACATTAACTTCGTACTCGTTTCCTTTTTCCGGAGAGAAATATAAAAATGAATTCTCTTACCGTAATGAGTCTTCACCCTCTCAGTCTGAAGGTTACTCCCGAACCATCACATGCATAGACCAAGTAATATTATATATAGGGCAATCTCATGAAGGTCGTTGGGTTGGAACGAAACTGTGGCAGCGCTGTCGTCGCGTCGTAAGCGAAATGCACTAAAGCCTAAATCGCGCTATTAAAGTTCAGAATATAACGTGCTATATATAAAATAGCTCCGAAATAACACACGGAGCGTTGGCCGCTGTGCGGGTAGAACACCTTCCCGGGTGGGGGAGATCTCCCCCTTTCCTCCCACGGCCAAACTGGGGACCCCGATATAAAGTGAACACGACGCAACCAACAGCCTTCGGAAACTTCTACTTAACCGGTTTAGTGCGGATGGCACGCGAGTCGTGTCTTTTTAAAAATCGTGATAACTCGCTCAAATTGCATTTTTGGAAGATTTATCCAGAACAAAATATTCATTATTTTGCAAGTAGTTCATGCCAGGTTCCTTTTTGGATATTTTGAAATTTTTAGAGGTTGACAACCTTTTCTTAACTTTTACATGGTACTCTTTTTACTTTGTGGGTTTTTTAAATTATGTTGTGGAAAAATAGTCTAATAAGTAACAAATAATAGCACTCATTGCGATCGCTCACAAGCTCAAGTTGTAAACAAGTTTCTGGAAAACAAGTCTCCTGTTCAAAAAATAATGCGTTTGTCTTATTGTTTAAATTTGCTTAAAATGATTGAACTGCCGTCTTATTACTATCATATGGGCGAATAGACCTACGAAGTACCATGTGCTCTTACCTTACCTTATGATATAAGGAATATTTTTGCTTGAAACAGTTCGAAACCGTTCATGCATAAAAAAGTTCGCTAATAAATAGTCTTTCGTCAATCCGCCACCGTATAGCGCCGGCGTTTGTTTCCTTTTGAAAACACTTGTTTTGCTATTCTTACTAATTAGACGGTTTCAGATCGACTTTACTTTTACATTTGTATAATATTAAATAATATTTAACAATTGTAAATATCAATGAATCATAAACCTTTAATTTTTTCCAAAATTAGGTTCTTGATTGTTTGATATTTACAAATGTTATTATTAGGTGAAAATTTAATTTAATAAAAACCAAGGGTTTTCAGGGTAATATACCTGTACCTACTTATATAAATAATTTTTAATATAAATTTTTATAAAACAAAAAATAGTACAAAAGGTTTGTAATCTCTGCAAAAAAAAAGTCACTCTCAATTTCAAAGAAAACACGTAGAAAAACACGTAGCTACCCACTAAAAACAAGTATTTTTCCGTTTGTAACTGATGTTTGATGTCAACTAAACTTAATTAGGTCTAAAAAAGTAAAAAAAAGCATAAAAAAGAAAATTATTTTTACACATGGCTAATGGCACAATAGGCGTGTCATCAACGTCTGTGTTAGCGTCAACGTCAATGGCAGGCGTGTCACGAAATCTTTGTTCGTCACCACAGCTAAAAGTTGTCGATAATCGGTGCCGCAACGAATCGGTTAAAGCTTTCGTCATTGTCTTCAAGTACCCCATCCATTCGCTCCCGAGCAGATATTGTCTGCAGTCTTCAGATCCTACAAGCCTACTACTAGCTTTTCAAGGTTCATCGCAGCACTGGAATAATGCTTCCTGTTCTATCAAGCTACTCTCTGCATTACAGTGTTGGGCACGGCTCTGAGCCTTACTGCTCACTTCTGCTTCGCAGCACTCGCAGATTACTTGCCTTTTTCTCGACTCATCACAGACTACAAGGCAATTCCCCGGCACTTGCACATTCGTCGACACCTAGACTGCACTATCGGCTTCCAGTCTGAGCAGGGGGCTGATGTGGCGGCGCTGTCATCGCGCCATAAGCGAAACGCACTAAAGCCTAAATCGCACTATCAATGTTCAAAAGTTAACGTTATATATAGAACAGCTTCGAAGTAATACACGGAGCGTTGGCCGGTCCCCGGGCAGAACACTGCCCGGCGGGAGATCTCCCCTTTTCCTTCCACGGCCAAAAAACTCACTTATATAATCAGTCACTGGCTTTGGACTATTCTGTGAAAACAAAATAGTACTTAATAACTTAGGGAATGATTCTGCCCGTCAACATGAATATTTTTTATTATGGGATCATCTTCGAAATTTTTAATTTATACGTGATAGACCCATACTGCAGTTATATTACTGGTATAGCTGTAGCACGAATGGGTCGACTTAACCGGGTAAGGACCACGCTCTAAAGCTTAATGCTGCTTGCTGTGTTTCGTATGGTGAGTGTAGATGGATACGTGAAATTTCATTTAGTCATCGAGTGTGACAACGCATCTACATTTTGTTTCTGTGTTGTGTGTTTAATCGAGGGTTTATGTAGATGTCTATGAGCCATAGTATCCTCTTTCCATTAGGTGGTCTGTAGGGTGATACAGAACACCTGATGGAATTTTTCTATAAAAAAATTACCTAATTCTAAATGTAGTCTCAGGTAATGTCACTAGTAATGGACTATACTATACCCAGTATTGGACACACGCTTAGAAAAAAAAAAGAATAATTTTACATTTTCATAATGGTAACATTGAAATATAAACTAAACATGTCAACGGTCGCGATTTCGGTTTATTCCGGCATTTCCATAGAGATATATTACTTCTAAATCAGTGGTCATTTCGTTGCTCTTTTTTTTTGCGCCCAGATGCAATGGAAAGGGCTACTCCGGAAAGCGAGGAAGGGAGATGGTGAATGCTCTAAGCATACCACGACAGTGGGACTCACTGCGACTAACCTAAGTGCCTACCCACTAAACAACACCTGTGAGACTGGCATTGGCTTTGTGGCCTTTCTGCCGAATCGGAAACGATCCTCTTTAGGAAAAAAGGGGCGCAGGCGGCGAGGAGCCGCTGAGAGAGGAGCCTTACTAAGGCAAATTAAGGGCGGGGAACAACAACAAAATTGTCGCAGCTTAAATAGATCCCCTCCCCTACCCCAGCCTATGAATCTGGAGTATATATGTAAAAAAATATACTAACAGACGTATTTCAAATAGCGCATCTCAAAAATATTAATTATTTAAATTGCACACATGTAGTTTTGAAATAAAAAAATAATTAAAGATCGCTCACCTTATATCGTCGATATTACTTCAAATTATTAGAATTAGGTACTTTATGCAATACAAAAAAACTGCACCTTGCTCAAATATAATTGCGCCAACGGTAGCCTAAATTTTCTGCATATAAATTTCTTGGCATAAATATTAATTCATTAGGGATATCATTATTAATATAATGAGACCCACACGTAACCAATTCCCTTCCATGGACTAAAAATGCTGGGGTGTAGCCAGTTGTTTCATTCACAGAGTTATTTATAGCAAATTGGATTTTCGGAATATTAACATCCCACGAACGATGGTCGTCATTAACATTAACAAACGTAGAAATAGCGGTTACTATGGTTTTATTATACCTTTCTACGGTATTTATTTGTGGAGTGTATTTAGGTGTGAAATGAACATTTAGTACAGAATATTTTTTTAAAAACTGTCCATTTCACGACTTGTGAATTGGACTCCGTTGTGTAGGATAATTGTTTGAGGAACACCGTGAACAAGGAACACGTAATCTTCTAAGTGCTTAGCAACAATATCGGCGGTGGCTCTACCTAAAGGGAACATAAGACAATACTTAGAGAAGCAACAAGATACAACAAAATATAGCAATATTGTTTCCTAGTTGGCGGTAAGGGCCCGATTATGTCTATTGATAGGGTCTGGAAAGGTCTACTGCATTCTTTTGGTCTACCCATCGTTCCTAATGTACAATGAGTTGGCAATTTATATGCCAGACAAACGTCGCATTCGGTAACAAATTTAACTACATGAGAATACATTTTAGGCCAATAGTAACGTAGTAATAATCTTTTGTACGTTTTGAATATGCCAAAATGACCCGAAGTAGGTTCCGAATGATTTTCTTTTAGAACAGAATCACGTTGTTCATTTGGGACAACCAACTTCCATGCAAATTCTGTGGTTAGAATATTTTTATTTTTCATAAAACGGTATAAGGAGCCATTTTCGACGCGATAGTTAAGAAAGCTTGCTGGTGATTTTTTGACAACCATAAAATATATTAAGAAACCATTGATCCTGAGTCACTGGCCGATTGGAAGTGTCTGATATTGCAACAAGCGTTGGTAGCCTAAATAGGGAATCAGGGATTACGTTATCTTTTTTTTATAGAAGAGGGGGCAAACGAGCATGCGGCTCACCTGATGGTAAGTGACTACCGCCGCCCATGAACAACCGCAACACCAGGGAAATTGCAGATGCGTTGCCGGCCTTTTAGAAAGGTGTAAGCTCTTTTCTTGAAGGTTTCTAAGTCGTATCGGTCCGGAAAATTCACTGTTGGTCATTGATTCCACAAGGAAGTTGTGCGAGGGAGAAAACTTCTTCTAAATCGCACAGTGCTGGACCGCCAATCATCCAGATGGTATGGATGGTAACGCAAGTTTTGTCGCGATGTGCGATGGTGAAATTGAGCGGCTGGAATTAGTCCGAACAACTCCTCAGAGCACTACCCGTGATAGATGCGATAAAGTACGCAAAGAGATGCAACATCTCTACGCAGTGCCAGTGTATCGAGCCGATCAGAAAGAACACGATCGTCTACGATTCGAACCGCTCTGCGCTGGATGCGGTCAAGTGGAAGGAGCTGGCACTGGGGTGCCCCGGCCCAGAGATGAAAACAGTATTTCATGTGGGGCCGAACTTGCGATTTGTAAAGTTGCAACCGATGTGCCGGCATGAAATACTGCCTCGCTCTGCTGAGCACGCCAAGCTTTTTAGAGGCCGATTTGCCCTTCCCTTCCAAGTGACCACGAAACTGCACACTATTCGATATGTCGACGCCAAGGATTCCGATGCTAACTGAGGCAGCAAGTGGAGTGCCTTGAAACTGAGGAGATACGTCAAAGGGGTTCTTTTTAGCAGTAAACGCGCAAACTTGTGTTTTCTGGGGATTGAACTGGACTAGATTTAGTCGCCCCCAATCCGAGACTTTGTTAAGCAAAGACTCGACTTCAGATACAAGTTTGTCCCGGTACTCAGCAACGTTTTCCCGAGAAATATTGGCACGGCCGGTATATAAGGCATCACCAGTGCTGTCGTCCGCATAGCAATGAATGCTACCAGTTAGCAACATATCATTGATATGCAGGAAAAACAGCGTTGGTGATATCACGCAGCCTTGTGGAACACCAGCATTGATAGGCTTGAAATCAGAGCATGCACCGTCTACTACAACCTTGATGCTCCGATCAGCAAGGAAACTGGTGATCTATTTGCACAATTTCTCGGAAATCCCATAGGAAGGACGCTTCGAAAGAAGCGCTTAGTGCCAGACCCGATCGAAGGCCTTCGCTATGTCCAAACTAACGGCCAATGCCTCCCCCTTGGACTCTACTGCCTCCGCCATCTATGAGTTAAGTAGACTAGAAGATCACCAGCTGATCGACCCCGACGAAAACCGTACTGGCGGTCACTAATCAGCTGGTGATCCTTAAGGTACCTCAAGAGCTGGCAGTTTATAATGGATTCCATTATTTTGGAGAACAAAGAGGTGATGGCGATAGGCCTGTAGTTGGACGGGTCTGAGCGGTCGCCTTTTTTAGGGATCGGGTGGACCAAAGCTGTCTTCCATGAATTCGGGACTACGCCTTGGGAGTAGGAGTACCGGAAAAGACGCGTTAAAACCGGTGCCAACTCCGGAGCACACGTCTTCAGTACAATGGGAGGGTCTCCATCGGGCCCACTCGACTTACTGACGTCCATGGAGAAGAGTGCTTTGCGAACCGAGCGCTGTGTAAACCGCACATCCGGCATGGAGCACTCACATCGCGGGATGGTCGGCGGTGTGTTCCCACCGTCATCTAGAGTCGAGTTGGACGCAAATAGAGAGCTCAACAGATCGGCTTTCAACAGACCTGAGGCGGAATTATACTTCTTTTTAAGTGCGCTGGTGTTTACATCCTGAGATTTTGATGCGTCAGCCCAGGCCCGGTAGCGCTCCTGCTTATAGCGTGATGCTATTTTACAGGAGCGACCAAACCATGGCTGCAACACAGAGGATGGAATAAAAAGTTCCATACCCTGAAGTACCACATCAGCAACAGAATCGGCAACAACGCTGGGATCTTCCGGAGAGAAGCAAACCCGCCCTCAAGGGTAGGATGCAAAAAAAGACCGCATCCCATCCCAATCAGCTGACCTATAATGCCAAACACGGTGGCAAGCTGCAGATCACAACTGCTATTGGAGCGTGAGTGGCACCGTACTCCGG